AGTGCATGCAAGGAACAAAAAGTGAGAGTTGGTGTGGGTGTGGGTGTGGGTGTAGGTGTGGGTGTAATTATTCATCTCATCTACACCCACAATCCACACCCCACACCCTTCGCTTAAAAAGATGTCGAATCATTTGAAATTTATACAAAAGCAAGGTCATGATTTAAACTATTCTTTTAAGACAACAATTTCAAGAAATATGTATATTATACTATAATATGCATAAATGATCTATAATTGGCATACTTAATTAAATTAATGTATTTAATTCAATTGATTATTTTCATCTATGAAGTTTTGAATTCCGTTACAAAAACGCTTGTAATCGTACATGACGAACTCTCATTCCAAGCTATTATACAAAATTTATTCGAGATAATCGATTCAAATAATTATTATACTAATAACTGCCATTTTACACTATAAAAGATTTTAAATATTTACTGAATTTATATTTTAAATAACAACTTGATGGAAGACAACGATATCAAGTTGCTGATATTGATATATGCCCGATTTGGTATGGCATTCAAGTAAAAATTTTATATTTATTCAACGTGAAAGTGTTGCTCTTTTAACCGTTTACTTACGTTAATTATCAAGAAGCTCAACAAAATTTTACGATAAGCTCTGAAAATCTTTTCTGATTCCCTCTTTTATGCGTTTCTTTGTGATGCAGAGCCCTGATGAATGCTTTTATTTCAATAAATTACACGAAATGTGTCAATAAAATTAATTCTGCGTTTGTGTTTATTTACAAGCACAGTATTTCAATATTATTTCCTTTTCGACAAAGGTTGATTGCCGAAAACAAAGAGTTGAGAATAGCAAATTGATTTGTATCTAGGATATACAGGATACTCTGTTTTTCAAGCAGCTAGTTTTGAAAATATCTTTGTGGTTTTTCAAATCCTATTAATTTTGAATTCCTGTGATGATTCTGGAAGTTCAAGTGAAACATGTGATGGTAGTTGGTTGGGTGTGGGTGTGCGCGTGGATGTGGATGTGAACAGAAAACTCACATCCACACCCAACTTCTTGTAAATGAATAATATATAGGTCTTGAGCTGGTGAAAACTTACTTTTGACAAGAAATTGAGTAGCGGGATGGATGAGAATCTCTGATTCACTTGGAATGCACGAATAAGACTGAATTGATTTTCCATATTCAATTAACATAGAGATATTTATTCCATACAAGATATCACTTGTTCAACACCCCGAACAAAAACTCTTGCTTTCAAAGATTAAATAGTTCTGTTTTTTCTGTTATATCAATATAATGTTGACTGTTTATGCTTTATTTTTTAATAAACCGTAGACACCAAAATATAAGAAAAAGATGATAGATTTAACTCAAAAAACTTTCAAAATCTTATGACTCTCTTATAATTACTATGCCTTCTGATTTGTTCATGTATTCTGAAAAGAGTCTTTAAAAATACAAAGATAAGATCTGTCGTTTTGATTTATTTCCTATTGCATCTTCAAGAAACCAGATTGGAGATTCCTGTTACGAGTGAGAGCTTTTGCTTCCATTTGTTTAGAAATCTCTAAGAGCTAAGCTGAAAGAAAATATTTTGAATATGAGTAGACTATCATACAAAAGAAAACCGATTTTTATTAAAGTACTTATAAACTTTCCATTCAAAGAAATCATTCCGATCTGGTTTGATTAAAGAAACTATTTTGATCGATTTTATGTTTGTCAGTATTGCTTATACCAACCGTGAATCTGAAATTTCTGATATTTCAGCCTATGTAATTAGCTAAAGTAGGAGTATATTTATAAAGATTTGCCTTTTCTTACAAAATGAATGTTATAGATAAAATAAAAAGAAAAATCAATGTATGAAATGTCCTAATGACAGAGGTATCAAAGCCACATTCTGACTACATTCCCATCATCACATGTGTAGTAAAAATTTTGTACATCTGTATTTCGTTTGATCCATTCACGAGTTATAAATTGTTCATTGTCGACGTCGCGTGGTTGTCTAATGCGTATTTCTCTTAATGTCATTTTCATTCTATTAATAACTTGTGCTAGATCAGGAATAGATGACGAGTGAATGTCAAGTCGTTCGACATGAGTAAACGAATGACAAAGTGCATCGATATCATTTGACGATAATACATGAATCCTATGCTCGTAATCATATTCAATTTTCAAATGAATAATATGAGGCCACTGATAAAGAAAAAGACAACTGAGACTAATACCAGACACTTCGAGCCGACATAAACGAGGTAAACTGCGTAAAAATTCGATGTGTTCGTAAGGCAAATTTGTATTCCATTCGCGACCAATGCTACATGTCGTAATTTGTGATGTATCAAGACCAGCTGTGAGATCTTTGAGCGTCGAAGGAAATGTAGTAGTAACTTGTGACAAGTACAACTTTTTGATATTAGTGTACGGGTGTAAGTGCTGACATTTCAGATATTGATCATTAATTATTAAACAATGAACATAAGAAAAAAATGTTGACTCTGATGCATTTGATTCTGATATTACCGTTCGAATCCTCTGAGGTGATGGATAGCAAATAATTGAAAAGTTACTCGAATAGTGCATGAAACATTCATCAGCTTTAAAGCTTCGATCGTATGTAACAAACCATTTTTTCTCTTCCAGCCAAAATTTCGTGCGAAATGAGTCAAGATTGAATGGTTGTTGTTGGAAAGCATCATCAGAAAATTGAAGTTCAAACTCGAAACGTTTGATATGTTGTAATGATTGTGCCCAGGCAAAACCATCCGCCATATCATTATCCACATCATCAGCAAACACTGCCAAATAGGTAAGACGTGGAAATGACGAAAGTAAAGTTACCATTTCTGTCCAAGTAATAGGGCACAGTTCGATCTGCAATCGTTGTAAATACAAAAGATGAGGATGAATTCTACCTAATTTTAAGTCTGGAGTTTTGAATTTGGCTTCAAGAGTGTGAAGCATAGGTGCGACGGCGAGAAGACTCAATAAATCGATTGATACGGTTTCTGAATGGAGATATTGAACAGAAGATGATATTAATGAATTCGGGGGATGAATTTTCACATCGCCATCCATAACGTTCGGCATTTTGACAGAGAGACGTTTGAGTAACAGCGAAAGAAAGAGTAGTTCGCTAAGAGTAATAGATGTCACCAATAAACGCGATATATTAGAATAAGAGAAACAAATGGAGAGCGTCACGATACGTGGCGGAAGTCGAGTTTTGAATAAGCCTCATGTCTTATAGCTTATAGATGTCAAATTTAGTGAACGAAGGTTTGGAAATGTTGTATCGATGATGCTGAATCGCGAGAAGAAAATAGCATTTTTCATATACCTCATCGTATCGTCTTTATCGAACAATGTCAATGATACAATTTGAGAGGTCGAACGAAGCAATTGAGTACAGATAGAATCAAACTGACTCTTGTTCATCGATATGTTCATACAACTAAAGTTCAATTGAAAACGAGAATAAGTCAGAGAAGCCGAACGAAGGCGTTTGTTGACGAAACATATAGATGAGAGGATATCAAGTGACGGAGCATTGTCTAGAATGTTATGAATTAATTCCACAGGTAATGTTGTCAGATAATCCGACATAGTTTTTTTCTGATTATGTGACTGCTATTTCTCAATTTCACAGAAGTATATATATGGACGATTGAAAACAATAACTGTCCTGTTCGCTTCATTAAAATATTCGATGAGTGTAGTGGCCGTGTTCTGCCGACGGACACAACTATTATTCGATAAATTCGTCTTGTTCATAGCAATTTCAGGTCTAGAGACTAACAACAGCAAACTATAGAAAAATAAACATGTGTCCTCGTTCGCTTTTTTCATAATCTGCACTTGTTACGCGTGAGTTCATTTCCACTGACTAGACATTGAGAGGTCATAACTCCGATACGTGAATGCATTTGGTATTTCATCAAAGAAAACTTGTTTGTCCCAGCGATTCGTGCATATCTGCCATTGGAACAATATGGATTTTGTTACTTTATCATATTCATTTTCCTCCATATTATGGAGATTGGTGTTTTACATCCTATGTGATATGTTCTTGATCAGCAATACGTTCGAGTTGTCATAGCAATTCATGACCAATGTACAATTTATTATTACTATTTAACCGACAAAAGAAGAAATCAAAAAAAGTGACTAAAAAAATTTGAAAGATGTTTGTCTTTGTGGGAAAGACTGATGAAGAGATGCATTTATAAACACCATTCACTATAATGACATTGTCATCAGTATATCTTGGTAAAAAGTTTTCTCAGTTGTTATTTTTCTTTCAATTCTCTCGTTTCTAATCACATCGTTTCTGATTCTGATAACAAAGATTCGACTTGTAGATCGCTTTTCTCTGATACAAACAAGATTTCATCTGCAGGATCTATTCATTACTGAAAAGATCTCTTTTTTTCTTTTTTATTGAATCATGTTTGTCGTTTCTTTCTCTCTGATACATATTTTCATAATTAGAAAACAAGAGTCAACAATTATGAAAATATCAATTATACATCTTATGCTTTTTATTTTTCTTATTTCTCTGAAATAAATATCAAATATGAAAAAAAGTATCAAAAAAAAGATAGAAGAAAGAATTCTTGGCTTTTCTAATTTGTTCATCATCCGATATTGAAATAATCATGGATAAAATTATCAATCGTACAGCAGATTTGATTAACAGAATATAAGAATCATCATCACAATTGCACTTAAACCTGATGAAATCTCAGTTCATTGAAATTCGTAATAATCTAAACCGATTACTTGAATGAGACTCATGAAGAGTAAATAGGTTTAGAACTCACTTTTTTGGCATTTCACGATAAATTTTTAAGCTCAGATAGAGCATATTCTGTGCTTTCAAGAAATAGATTTGTTAAAGGAATAAATTCTTTTGATTAGAGTTCTGCAACTCATCCAGATACTTACATCAGTCTGGAAGATATCTGAGTCTGGGTACAGATAGACTCGATCGTTGTTCTCGATAAATTCATTTATTCTTAATCAAAATCTTTCGTTTTATTATGTATTGAAGATATGATGAATGTTCTGTCCATAGAAAAAAACAAATCTCAGCTGTTTCGTTGTAATTCTTCAAATTAGCAGCATGTCGAAAAAAACGAGTAATTCGTTAAAACTTATGTAAATAGCATGTTTACAAAAACCTTACTATTTTGAAATAAACTTCTTTAATTTGTCATCTTTTTGATTAGACTGTCATATATTCACTGGCAGACAAAAAGATTCATTTGATTACTTTCATTATCAGTAGAGGATGTGGGTGTGGGTATGGTTGTGAGTGTGGGTGTAATTATTCATCTCATCTACACCCACCCTCCACACCCTCACTCAAATCCACACCCACACCCACACCCTGAAGATTGCTCTACAAGACCCTATACTTGGAGTTTTATTGCATCCCGAGAATAATCTAGATATTATGATAAATCTTTAAAAAGAAGGAGTCCAAGTAACGATACCGAGAACGAGTGACAGGACCATAGTTAATATTATTGATTTGGTATGCGCATGTAAATCAGCAATGTGAGAAACTCCTAAATCTCAGTTTTTTGCATAATCGGTTGAATCGGTAACGAATTAAATCAATGTTAGTTTAAGGGTACAGCATTCAATACTGCCGGAAAATGGCCTCTGAAAGCTGCTTCCCTTAGTCAATTTTGAAAACCAACCAAAGTTTCTAAGTACTCCTTGATATCGGGAGAATGAGCATCAAAAACGGAGTGGAATAGAACGTTTCAATAACGTACTTCGGAAATCTATATTAATTTGTTAGAATAAGATAGAAAATTAGCTAATCCATTTAAGGGTTGCCTACGACTACTTTTTTGAAGTCGGCTTCATTTTGAAATACAATATTTATGTACCGGATTCTATTCAGTTTTTGATGCTCGTTCTTCCGACATAAAGTAGTGCTTAGAAACTTTGGTTGGTTTTCAAACTGACTAAGGGAAGCAACTTTCAGAGGCCATTTTCCGCCATTATTGAATGCTGTACTCTTAAAGTAACATTGATCTAATTCGTTACCGATTCAACCGATTATGCAAAAAACTGAGATTTAGGGGTTTCTCACAATGCTGATTCAGATGTGCATATCGAATTAATAATATTAACTATGGTCCTGTCACTCGTTCTCCGTATCGTTACTTGGACTCCTTGTTTTTAAAGATTTATCATGATATCTAGATTATTCCCGGAAGGCAATAAAACTTCAAGTATAGGGTCTTGTAGAGCAATCTTCATTCTACAAAACCCGTTATAGCACTAAATTGTAGAATTCGGTCTAAGAGAATTTTGGATGTACAAATTTGGATACCTATTTTTACCATGTCTACCTAATGATGCCTGGGAAATATTTTTCCATCGTGAATGAATTCTTGAAAGTGATATATGTGCAAATACGCCAGATCATAGGCAACAAAAAAATATTGTTAGAATGGGTCTTCGGTGAATATGACTAAAAAATATATGTACCAAGAGATTTGGAACATTTTAGGTTATCATTAATTGCATGAAATCCAAGCCAAACGTGTGACTTGTATATCTCAACAATGGAACATGAAGTAGCCTAATTTTTTTTTACTATAGTTGTAACTCGTTGAAGTCTACAATATACACGACAAATGGGCCGATTTCAGAGACCTTGTGTTTTTTTTTGGTTGAGATCCAATGGATTAGCACAATAATGAATATCACATGCAATTATGTAGAAACATAGATTCTTTTGAATGATGAAGACGGTAACTCATTGTATTTTTTCTATGAAATATTGCTCAAAAAATATTCACATTCTTTTCTTTTCGAATGAATAGCTGTAATTATAATATGGAGAAAAAATGTGAGCGACTATTTGTCTTTCCTTCTTTTTGTCTATTCACAGTGTGTGCTTGTAGCCACCTTATATCACCTTTTCTCCTGTTCTGTGCACATGAGAGTATGCCTACATATATTTCTTTCTTTCTGTCACTTTCTTCACCATGTGAGTGTTATTTTTTATCGCTACTTCCATCGTCACAAACGCATTCTTTTAAAAAAAGATAGATTCTTGAGTAAAGGTGAGTTAGTTAATTATATATATTCTTTTTCTTTGAGAAAATAAACTGTAGTACTGGTTTAATAAATCTTTTTGAAGATGTCTGAACACGAATCTGTCAACAAAACAGCATTATATTACGTCAATGAACCGCCAATTAATGACTATATCGAAACATTCTTTGCCAATTACGCTTCGATTCCGATCGAAAAATTGCGTGATCACTTATTGACCGTGCGTGATCGTGCTTGGCAAAAATGCAATTATCCATGTCTCGGTCGTTGGGTTTTTCTTCATTTTTCCATTCAAAAAAGTCCTATTTACAAAGAAATTATTGAAAAATGTAAAAATGAAGGCGCAACGGTGATTGATTTCGCATGTTGCCTTGGTCAAGATGTACGACAACTCGTCTACGATGGAGTACCTATTGATCGAATACGTGGCTACGATCTCGATCCTTTCTTTATCGAGCAAGGTTATAAACTATTTCGTGATGGAGAAATAATGCAACAAAATAAAGTATTTAGTTCGGGTGACATATTTAATGATCAATTTCTGGATGCGATAGAACCAGCCGATTATGTTAATGTTGGCGCATTCTTCCACATCTTTGATGCCGAGACACAAAGAGACGTGTGTCGACGTCTCACTCGCCTATGCAAACGTGCTATCATCGGATGGAAGACTGGTGCGTTGATACCGACAGAACTTCCAAAACCTTTATCATTTGAGGGCACTATGATGTGGCATTCTCCAGAAAGCTTTATGCGTATGTGGGATGAAGTTACAGATGGCAAATGGCAAGTGGAAAGTACTACTCTGAAAACGATGGACGGACTAGAAGATCTTGGTCTTGCACTCACTTTTGTAGTTAGAAAAAGAGGAGAACAATAATCAGATTTTTGTAGTTTTTCATTGTCGATCGCCAACAAAAAACAAACTATAATTGATAACATCAATTGTAGAAAAGTATGAGGAAATAGATTGATTATGGTCTACTATCCAAGCTTTAACCATTTGTTTTCGGTTCAAATGGAAGATTATTTTGATTGAAAATCTTGTTTTGCTCTCTCTTTCTTTTAATTCTTCTTTATGTGACGTTTCGATGCCGAGGATGTCTTCTTCGGACGATTATAGCACAACAAACTACTGTGTTTTTCAAACAAGTATATATACAAACACTTTTCGTTCTTCACTTGTTAGTTCTTGATAATGGGTTGGCAGAAGAAGAAAACTGCTAGTCATTCCATCTCATCACCACGTTGTCGACCCATTGTCAAGAACGAACAAGAAAAGAATAGAAAAATCGAGAGAAGAATGAAAAATGTCTGTGTATGTACTTATTTGAAAAATTAGTAGTTTGTTGTTCTATAATCGTCTGAAGAAGATGCCCTCGGCATCAAAACATCACATAAAGAAGGAATGAAAAGAAAGAAAGAGCAAAACAGAATCCTCAATCAACAGTAGCTAGTATGAACTGTGCATTGTATGCTTTGGAAGGCGATGAGTAGCCACGATTCCAGTAGTTGGAAATTTGATAGGGGTCATTCAGCACGGATGGCTTTTTGACACAATCATTACTGTCGGATTCAAAATACCATGCAGCTCGATGTTTTTTGATTAACTTGAGAACGTAACCAGCTTCATATCCAGAGTTCAGGTCACATGGAAAATGAGTGGTATTGATATAGCAATGTGATTAAATAAATATCATGAAAACGAATATTTTACACCACACAAAGACGCACAATATTTAGAGAAAGAAAGAAAGAAAGATTTCAAAAATTTGCTGCGCAGTAAACATCTCACCGATTATCCAACAGAAAGATAGAAATTGATCTTAGTCTAAATATTTTATATAGATTGTTGATTAGAAAAAGTGAATCATTGTTTTTGACAAAAGCTTTTTTTTTGATACAACAAAGTTTCTGATTTCATATGATCAACTTCAGATCATTATGACGTAGTCAACATAATATTGACAGGCATTAGTTCAATATGTGCATGAGGATCGAATTGAATTACTTCAATTCTCAAAATACATACATCCACACTTAATGAAGAAGCACCTATACCAGTATCATATCCACCTCTAACACCTATATCAATAACTTGTAAACCTGAATTCATATAGATTATATCACTGAATGAACACATTGTCATTGTTGGTGGACTAGCAAACCAACTCCAGTCACCCATAAGAGCAATATAATGGTTACCTGTAAATCCGGAAAAGTATTTATATCTATCAGCTGTGTTCAGAACGAACTTATTAGCGTAGAGTAAATAATGATCAATTATTAAACGAAGATACAAAAAGATATCTGCTGCTTGGTTCGAGTAACATCTGCCTTCAAACGAAATTTTATATGGTAATGGTTCTGTATGATAGAAAGACAATGTGAGACCAGGTACTTTCACAAATGTTAGCGATGCACCATGTAACGCATGGACCATTGGTTGTTGCTGTTTAACATAATAACTTTGAGAATGTATTAAACCAATTGATCATTGATTTGGGTTAATTCTGATAATGTTGTCCAGTAATGACTGGTTGCCATCACATGTAACAGTTATGCAGAAAAATATCATGTAAGTCTACTCTTACAACTAGATAAAAATAGTAGAGATACTGAAGATAAACGATTTGTACGAAAAGTTACCGGAGAATGGCAGTGAATGTGCATCGTTATCCTTTATAGCCACCGTAAACATTACAATGAAAGATACGTAGTCATTGCAAGTATAATGTTCCACATAGGTGTCATTTTTACCTTGTTAAGAATAATTGACTGGGACAATGAGCGAATTAGATAGCTAGTTTTAACCTCTTCTACAGGATAAACTAGTGTTATGTGATTCAACTATTCATTAATTCCAGAAAGTGCGATACAGCTGCCGTATTACACCACTGTATCAACTCGTAATTAAACCGCTGGAAATAAAGATATCCAAAGATGCATAATCTTTCATGAGGTGATGATACACAATCGAAAAATGTCTGGAGAGAAAATAAGGATGTTGTTGCCGTGTTCTTGCTGGGAATGACTGCTTACTATAACATTGTTCGATTTGTACATGAGCAATTTATATAGTTAAACATGGTGCACAATTTTGTAACGAAAGGAAACAGGTACTCGAAAGTCAATTCCATTGAACAATTTATTCAGAAAGCATTTTAATGACCAATCGGTGTGAAGAATCTTGACCATTAAATCAAACTTTTGACCTCATTGAACGTATTTTAATGATAAATAGTTTCACATGTTTTTAGCACCATTTTAGACGTTTGAAAACCGATTCAGTGAGTAAACCAATATGACTAACGCACTGAAACTTGGGCTATCAAACACCCTTCCCGTATTGCTACAAAGAATAATAGAGCACCACATTGCCATAGTCTTTGTTCTTCACTTTGTTTGATTCATCTCATGAACTAAGAGCCGGCTGAGAGCACGATATTTCCTAGATTGTAAATCTGGTGAGAAACAAACAGACAATTTATCCTGATTGAATTCAAAAGATACAATCGATGGGAGTATTGTACAATGCAATAAACATACAGTGAAATATTAGACGGTCGAAGTCCGATTGTCTATTGATTTTCTGAATATTTGATGTATGGACAATTTTCACATAGTTTATCAAGAAGAAACCGCGTTGGTGTTTTTCCTCTATGAAACTGACTAAAATAATGTAGATAACGGCATCGAATTCGAAAATGAAAATAAAAACACCATATACAATCACAGTGCTGCAAATCTTCATAGTTCGAATATGCTCTTCGTTGCGCAACAAAAAGAAGAGTCTCTTACTTTGGGAGTGTGCGTACGGATGTGGATTGCAGCTGTGGGTGTCTGGGTGTGGGCTTGGAGCAAGTAAAAATGTTGTCCATCACCTACACTCGTACCCTCCCACACAGACACCTCACACTCACACCCACACCCCAAAAGCTCGGCCAGAAGCGTTTGGGCCTCTGATGACTCGAAGTACAACAAGCGGCGAAACATCGAAACCGTTGGAAACTACTACTGAACGAGCTTAAAGCCCAACCTAAAATGGCCAGAGGAAGAAAATAAATGAAAATCAGAATCAAGGGCAACTCGATCGTTGCTTAATCGATTTCGAGAAAAATGTTCGAATTAATAAATACGACTTTTCTTCTCGAATCCCAATCAAACGGCGTATCAACATTTCGTTTGACAATACTGCTCTTCGTTCAGAATGTTCCTATACACATCAAAAGCTCGCCAAATTCTTCAGCGACTGGACATCGGAACCAAAAGTCCGATAAGCGTATCGTGTTGGTCAATACTTCTAAGAGTTTTCTTTATCGACTCGTCAATAAAACATCAGTCGAGAACGACTTATTGATATTGCACAATCTTGGCGCATTCTGTTGGCTATTTTTTCATTGTGATTGCTCGTCTAAGTTTACCAATCTAGGTCATGCTGGTAAATTTTATTATGATGCTCAACTTGATAAGGATAATATCGAATCATACTAACAACTTATTGGTCTCGTTAAAACTTGTGAGACTTTCTCATCAACTAGTAAGAATTGAAAGAAAGCCGAAACATTCAGTAGCATTCTATTTATTATTTAGCTTGTTACATTGGTCAAATATCCATATTTCGGCATGGATATATCATCACTATCTTTTTAAATGGATGAAGAAGAGATGCTTATCCGAGCAAGCAGGAATTTTTTTGTAGAGAACGCTGAACAAGATAGCGTTGCAGGAAAACATTTGATTTATTGATCGTTATGTTAAATCATTCGCAGGGAGCAACGACCAAATAAAGTCTAAGAATAGGTAAATGATTTTGAAAAAACACATCTGATGACATGTAAGTCACAATAAGAGAATAGAAAATATGAGGTATAGATTATTGTCAGAGTTGAGAATTGAACAGGTAAAGGTTCAAAGTGGTTCTGCTAGGCTTCTCAGTGAAAGAACACTCACTCCGCCCAGTAATTCTGCCCTCGACGTCTTCACCAATGTATTATACGCAGTGAATTGTGCCGCAATGTGCATGATCTAATGACATTCAATTTAAACAGAAAAAAAATGAAGTCTTTCATCAGTGTGCTAATTTTGACACCCGAAATTTTTCGAGATCAGATTTTTTTTTTAATTGAATTCATCCATTGTCTTCTGCTTTATTGTATAGAGCGGTCAACTTGTTGCGTTTGAAATCGATTGAATTCGATACACTATGAAAGATGAAATCTTAAAACATTGTGTAAGATCTTTACATCATATCCGTACCATCGGCCATTTCAAATCTATTGTGAATATCAAACAAATGTGGCTGTGGATGAAAATGAGACACACTTGCATGCCTACAAACTCTTACTCGATTGTTGCTTCATTATCACACGATACTTCTCTAATTCAACATTTCATAATTGTCTACAGTAATATATTACACTGTCCAGATTTCTAGGTATTTAATCTATCTTCAAATTTTTCTGTAAAACAACAGTGCATCTACGGATGATTATGAAAGTAAGTTCTTACGTACTTACAAACAGAATTGTATGCATGCACCTATTACATGGTAGATATACTTACATATATAGCACAAATAATCATTCGGTCATTCATATGAAAAATGAAAGAACAACTATATAATAAGTAGTCAATGACGCAAAATAATTGAAAGTATTTTCTCTTGATACGTACGCTTTTCTTCAAACAGCACTTCTTAATCAATGTTCATATATACCGATCATTATTATTTTATTATTGTGTTATTTCGCCGTTGTTGTATTATTCTAAAATAAATACTCTAAAATCAGATCGTTTATATGATGATTTTCCTTCTAATGCCATTAGTCAAGACCAATGATATATGCAAATTACAAAAAAACTCTCTCATATGCTTTATTAATTTCTGTATATGAACTATTCTTTGAATATTCGTAAAATAGTGATTCAATATACTCAAGTAAACCTTTGAAGACAAATAGGCACATATACATATCAGCTCTTCCGAAGTTTTAAGAATTCATGCAAGCATACTCAGTGAAGTGTATGATAGAGTTTTAATTAGAAAAAAACTGAATTAGCCGCATAAAAGAAATAATGATGATGAAAGTATCGAGTGTAATCGGTCAATATTTATTCTGATTGGAACTGAAAAGTTTCCAAAACATGGTATCAATAATTTCTTTTTCACACAAAATCGTATATAAATGAAATTTACTTCATGTTACTACATTTTACATTTCAAACCATTGCAGAATGTTCAAAACTCAATCCTTTTTTTAATATATATTCATAATTGCAATACATACTAATATGTCAAAGACCGTTTTGGCTTTACTAGATATAATTCACAGCTTGTAGGACAGTAAATTTTTTCCTGTCGTTTTCCAGAAGGTTATCATATTCAATATGTTACACTTTCACTTTCGTGCATATGGAACTAATCGTAGCTAGTTTGTGACAGCAGCGATAAATTTTTCTGAGATTTTCTTCATTTCTATAATATGGTCAACAACAGATGCTTGAATTTTTTTAACATTTTATTTGAATTGTTCTACTGACACTGATATAATAAAAAGAAATAATTTTATTTCAAGTAATGCACGCAGTTTTGTTTAACAGTTTTTTGATCACTGATCAGTTGTTGTGTTTAATTCCATACTTTTTTCTTAATTGATTTAATAATGAATGATTAAAAGGACAACTAATGTTGTTACCATTTTCAACAAAACCTCCTAATTGCCACTGACGATATTCGTGCACAAAGTCTTCTATCCACATATGGAAACAATCAAATGCTTTATTCGCCGTTCTTGTTGTAACTAAAGAACAGAATTCTTTATCTTTTTCACACATTTCAACAAATAATTGTCCATCACGTGCAAGATTATCATGAGGATTGACTGGTAATGAAAAACCTTGTAAAATAAGTTGTGAAGCTTGTCGAATTAATTTAATAATTTCATCTTTTTTAATACCTTTCGGTCGTTCATTTATTGGATAATAAAGACCTTTGATATAAGGTGTACCACTTGTCATATATTGATCGAGATATGAAGCATACCCTTTGCTTATATTTTTTAATTCCACTTGTAATATACCTCCAAGATTAATATGCACAGATCCATCTGATAAAAACGTTTGATACATTTGTCCAGTACCTGGTCCAGAAATGTGGATATCCATTTGACGTAAAATTTTTAATTGAGCTATGAAATTGTTTTCAATTAATTCATATATTGGAGATCGAGAATCCATTGGAGTTGGATTTATTTGAGTGGAATTACGGTTTTGACCTCTAACTTTATCGTAGAAAAGATAAGAGATACGAACTAATGGCCATAGTAATTTAGTTGTGTTACTTGTAGTTTTATTCAAATAAGAATTAGTATAATTATTTATTTCATTGATAGCATCAGTGATTTCTTTTCGATCATCATTTGTATAACGTTTATTGTCTAT